TTCTCTGTATGGGCTTTTGTCCCAAATTTGGACATTGCATCATCCAGGTTGTGAGCTGGAGCTAGCTGCTCCCATGGACTGCATCTGTGCTGTCTGGGTTTCCCATGTCTATGTCAACCACCATCCATGTTCACATTCTCAGAACAAACCATTTTGCACAAATCTCCTGGTCTCCCACACTATCTCTAGGTGAGTATTTCAGCATAGACAATAAAAAGACTGGAGCAGTACTTGCTCAATGCTCCAAAGAGAAAGCTGAGAAGGCTAGGGGCAAGGCAGGGTTGGCAAGGCTTTCTCTACACATGAGAAAGCCTGTCTGTGTCCAGAGCCAAGGTAGAGGTTAAGTTTTAAACTACTGCAGAGGCTGCAAGGGGACAGTATGCGTTGGCTTGCCTTGCAACCAGTTTGGCTCTTCCTTAGACGAGTGGAATTTTCAGTGAGCAAACCATGCAGGGACATCAGATCTGACAGCGAGGATAGACTCCTGATGCTAATTCTAATCACCTCCTGCTTTATCAGCCCTTGGCTGTTTTGAGGGGTTTTTTTGTTTATTTGTTTTTCCTGGTAGTACTGCCATGTCCTCTGACCCTGTAGCCAGGATTCTGAGTTTGTCCCTAGTCAATGTTAAGATAAAATCTGAATTATGAAATTTCTTAGTGCAAAAGCTTGTGTAATCTGAGAAACAAAAGGAAACTGGTAAGCTCAGAAGAAAGAAGTTTTTTAAAAGAAAAAAGATAACATATAATGGCATTTATAATGACCATTTTGTTAAATCTGATACGTCACTTAAAAAAATCTCGTTTAAAATAAATTACTGCTTTGACTTCTTGCTCCAGCTAAAAATGTAAAATAAGTAGGCCATGTTTGTTTGGTTTAATGGATTGTGGTTTATAGGTAATTCTTTCTTTTTTTTTTAAATAACCAATTCATGTATTATATTTTCTTATATTCCTGTCTGTCTGTTAAAATATCAGGATTTCTAGTGCTAATATAATTTAATTGACTCAAGTGGAAATATTTGAAAGGGACCTGTCTCCGGCAGCATGTCAGCTGGCTGGCTATCAGCCAACACCAGCAACACCATTTGGGTACTACCCAAATTATCGTGCCAGCAGCTGGACTACGGTTCTGCACTGTTAGTGCAGCTTTGCGGTGGGGGAGCTGAAGCCAGCCAGGCAGGGTAGTGGGGCCATCATCTCTGTTTCTGCTGGGGCCAATCCTACCTGACATAACCATAAAAGCAGTAGAGGTCATTTATACCGTGATGAAATTAGCAGTAGCACTGATAATGTTGCACTAAGATCAGGCTGGTAACAAAACCTTACTGAGAACTTGGGGTGCCGCTGCAACATATCTACAAATAAATGAGCAGCGTTTGCAGAGATTAGTGGTTTGCCATTGTCGTATAAGAAGACAATAACCATAAGTATAGTATATGATTAGTATTGTGTACTTAATCATAAGTAAGAAGACTTAATCGTAAGTATAATTTGGTTCGAACTAGGATCACTGTTTTCAGAAATAACAGTAAAAACCAACAAGGTACATTGTTATATGACAGTGAAATAACTAATAATACAGCATGAAATAACTCTAATTGTAGAATAAGTTTTATTCATATGTTTATCTTCAAATGCAGATAGGACTTTTTTACAATGCTTGTAACCACCAAGCAGCCTAACAAGAGCTCTCAGCTGCTAATTTGCAATATTACAACTGGTAGAAGCAGAGAGTTGATTGGAAGGAAATTATATGTGCTTCTCCACTGGTGATTTTTTTGTGTGTGTTTCTTTTTTTTATTTTTTAACTCTCTTTTAATAAATTAAAACACTCTTCTAAGAGTGAAATGATAAAGACTGCCCCTGTGGAACCAGAGCATGAAAGTTTATTGTCTCCAGATACTTCCAGGTCTGTCAGTTTGTTTGGTTCTTTTTATATTGTGTTTTAGAAATCATCGTGTTTAAAATTAAGGGCATAATGTATCAAAATCAATAAAAGACATTGTAGAAATGTAGTACTGGTATGGACCTCACCGGGTTATCTAATCCATTCTTGTATCTGAGGAGGGGTCTAACAGCCCTACAATGTTCATCACAGTTGTTTTTCTATATTGTTTTTAAACAACTTCTGTGGAAGTTTTTCCTTAGATAGCTGTTCCATCATTTATCTTACTGTGTAATTCAGATTTTTTCTTGTTTTTATCAGGATTTCCTCTCCCTCACAAAGTCAAATGCTTCTTGCCCAGTCTTTTCAGACAGAAAAACCCCACCCTGATCTTGATTGTATCTTTTCATTTATTTAAAGATTGCTAGCCTGTCCTCTCCTCACCATCTACTTACTAACTGAAGAAAGACAGTTCTTCCAAGTCTTCCTCAGAACTTACACTTTGTAAATGTACCATTTTTATCTTTTTTTTTTCCTGGACTTTCTTAAACCATCCTGTGTAATATTAGGCACAGTATGCAAACTCTGACTTCGCTGCTAAATAAAGCAGAATAATCATCTCCTGTGAGATGCATATAACCCTCCTGTTAATCCTTTGCACAATTAAATTTGCCTGGTTTTGCTCTTTTGCATCATGATGTTCATGTGTGATCCCTAGTTTGTGATTCACTGCAACTGTATCTTCCCTTTCAGCAAGATCCTCTTGTGTCTGGCTGGCAGATTTCTGGCAAGTCATTAATGAGCAGGTTACAAGATGTCCCTAGAGTAGGGATCCCACTGTGACCAGGGCATCCATAAGTGTGGGAAAAGAAAGATCCCTTAGAAGATTTGCTGGAAAGCATTTTTTTACCTAGTATTAGACTTTTTCTGGGATACCCCTCACATCAAGCAGAAGTCTCTCTCTCTTCCTTTCCTCTATAGTCAACTCAGGTGCTTAACACTGGTGCTGTATTTTTAACGGAATACTTGGTTCTTTTTGCCAACCTCTCTTGTAAGCCCCTATTCATATTGCAGTGAAGGCTCTAGAAATTTAACTTCTAGCGGGCTCTTTATTAAAGCAGTTGATGGTAAAACATCTAATCAATATTCATCATCACTCAAAAAGGCTACTACAGCATCAGCAATGACTAATAGCAGGCTTGTTGCTGTTGTCTGGAGACACCAACGCATTTTGCTTTGCTACATCACTGCCCAAATGCTGCCCACAACCCTGGTCACCACATCACAAAAGGGTTTATGAACTAGAAAGGTACAGAGAGAAGCAACTAGGATAAACATGAGGCCGTATAAACAGACACACAGCCACGGTGTTGTCAAAGGTGGAGCTGATGCAGCACCTTCTGAGAGTGGCCAATAGTGGAGGCCAAGAGGTGGGGATGAGAGCAGTCCGGCAGGCAGTTGCACTATCCCAGCCATGTTATGAGATCAATGAGTAAGGAAAATCTGCTATTTGAGGATGAATTAAATAGGTGTCTTCCTTAGAAAAGAGACACCTGAATGGGAATATGATACAGGAATGTAAGTTGCAAATGGTATGGAAAAAGTGCATGGAGAACAGTCATATATATATTTCGCATAACAAATTATGTGAAGTTTTCCAATAAATTTCTCAGAAATCTAGATTTAAAACAGTCTAAATGTAATCCTTTTTTTTGCCTGACACTTAAGTAAATTATACTTATGCAGTTTACGTAACTATGCCTAATTTTAAGATAAATAGGAAACTCCTTGTCAAAGGCTGTTGCAGCTGCCCAAAAGATGAAGGGATCAAAGGTGTTAGAGATAACAGAAAAGAAATCTATTGGGGTTTTAAAGTACAAAAATGTACACAGAGCTGTTTCTCAGTAAAACTGCTGGCAGATGAGAGGGTTTTCTGTTCTGCCGTGACACTCGTAGAATTCACAAATGAGCCCTGCCAAAGAAAGCTGAGCCCCAGCTCTGACACGGCACAGCTATTTTTGGGATGTCCATGTCTCAGTTTCTGTAATGTCTCCAGTGACTACCAGCCTGTGTATTTTTAAGGACAGATTGCACACACAGTGTGGGTCACAGCTGGAGGAGGTGATCCATGCTGCTCCCACACAGCTCCCTACAAGCATCTATCAGCTACTCCAGCTGCAAGCAGTCACTCAGCTGCATGTTGCTATGGCCTTCAAGTAAGGAAGGGATTGTAACTTTGCTCTCTTAGGAGCAGAACTAGACTTAAAGTATGATACTGAGAATGAGTATCTGCTACCTGGCTTCTTCCTCATGCCTTGGTGTTGGTTTTATGGATGTCCCTGATAAATGTTGTCCTGTTTTTTATGCTGGTAGGGCTTTCCTGGGAGAGGGAGGCACCCTACAGATTGCTTGGGAGATGGTAAGCAAAAGGATGTTATACCATAGCATTTTTACTCTTTTACTCATCTGGGGATGAGTTCCAGCTATGCTCCTTAATTTTTTGAGTTTTTAGTTACTACCTGGTGATGAAAACTCCTATGAAGGGCTACATCAAAAGTGCGATAAATGTTGCTATCAGGTATCAATCAGCAAGATCATATAATCTGACCCCTAGCACTGGGTTTATGTTAAAGAACGATTGGCTTTTATTTCTTTTTTTCTTGTCCACTAATGTGCTGGGTATTTGCATTACAAAAGGTACATAAGCTTCTACACCTGGAGATTAATTTGTTTAGTTTGAGGATTGACACTACAAACTTAGCAACCAGGTTACAGGCACAAAACTCTGAGCTACTTAGAAGACACTAACAACACAGAGGGCCAGGCTTAGTTCCGCTGCTGGGGAAAGGCTAGCAACCATTAAGAACAGAAAAATATTCACCCTGAGTTACCCTTCTGTGACCATTGCATGTGTACTCATTTTTACCTGGGAGTGAAACTGAAGCTTTTATCTTCTTCCCTAATTGCTCACAATCTTGTGTGGGTTTTTTTAATAATGGAATTATTCTTCTATGAAGACTGTGGAGGGGGGAAAAAATGACCACTGAAAACCTATCTGCCTTTGCTTAGCTTTTTAACCTGTTTTTGCCTGCCTGCTTTTCCAGGAGACTACTACAATGACAGATCCGTCAGTTGTGGATCACCTGACACGACTGAAACTCAAACTCCTAGAAAAGGTAAGGGAATAATTCTGCAGTGGTCACCTTTGCTCTGCTTTTTGCTCTTGCATGTTTAAGCATTAACATTATATTTTAAATAATTATATTTCTACTGAGATACAAAGAGGATCTGCAGCCAATTAAGAACATCTGTCTTTGTGCAAGCAGAGGCAGACCAATGTGCAGTGGTGCTACAGTCACTGTCACTTTCTTAAATAACATTGCACAAGTTTACATGGACCTACAGTAAATTAAAAATAGAGTTAAAATGACTTTGATTGTATGGGAGATGTCATCAGTTGGCTCAAAACCAGTTTGCGACAGGCAAAGTTTAGGAGTAAATTTTGGGTAAAGAGGATCTTGGATTGTTTTAAGGCAATTTCATGTCTTTTTTTTTTTGTCTGCTTTCACATAAGATATGTTGCCTGGTGAAACATAGGCAGGTCTTCAGTGGAAGCACATGAAGTGCTGCACAGAACGCCAGTAGCTCTTTGTTGTGACTCCACACACTAATGTACCCAGGGTTCTCTGCTCAGCTCTGGTCCTCTACCCTCAGCACATCTGGCATCCACTAGTGGGGATATTCTGCTTTGGTGTCCTCCAGAAGCCATTTAAAGAGTTGTCTGGAAGGAAAAACAATTTGCCTGGAGATGTGAATGCTGGAAGTGGCATCTAGTCTGTCTCCATGGTAGAGTCTTTTGTCTTAGATGCAGCAGCCATTTCAGGGCAAAACTTTCACAAGTGTGGAGCCATGCAGAACCAAGAAAAGAGCCTGTGCATGAGCGAAATGTCCCTAATTTCTGAGCATCAGGGAACAAGGGCCAGCTGCTCCCTAAGGAGCAAGGAGTTGAGCACAACAACACAGACAGCAGAGCGGGGCCTGGGCAGCCAGCCCCCAAGTGAGGCAAGCAGGGCAGAGCCAGAGATGGTGGCCAGGTTCAACCAAAAGTCCAGATTTATCAGGCAAGCTCATGGTGATGAGGCAGGTCCAAGGCGATCTGGGGAAGTGTCTGCAGGCTGGGATCAGGGTTAATAGGATCCATGGCCAGTCACAGGCATGGCTGTGGTTGAGCTGCAGACCAGCACTCATCCAGCATAGCTCAGGTAGGAACTGAGGACCTAGAGCTGAGATTAAAGTAGCTCCTGGACACATGAGTGGTAGGTGTGGATGGAAGCTCCAGGTGAGGCTGGTCAGGGCCATTTAGGCCTATTAGTGCACCAAATACCCAAAACTGTCCAGCATCAAGTTCTTCCTATGATCCAGGTCTCTGCCCTACTAAATAAATGATATATAAGTCTCCTGATTCACCATGCTATCAATTTCCAGGTCTGGGATAGCCTGGGCAGTTGGAAGCATGACTATTCTTTTACCATAACTAGATTTGTAGTGAGACATTTCATATTTCTATGAATACTTCTTGTAGCCCTCACTAGCTGTGATTTAGCAGTTAAGAAGCACTGCTTGTCTCCACTTCTGCTTTATTTCCTCCATTCCAAACGTATGCCTGTAAGGTAAAGTTGGAAATTGTTGTGAGCTTTGCTGCCTGACTTATAACCAGTTCTTGTTGTGGTTCTACCAACAGAGACTAGAAAATGAACAGGAGAATCTGGAGAAGATGGAGTCACCTCTCCCAGCTGCAAGTAAAAGAGAAGCATTTGTTCTAATTATGGACATAATATGGAAAGGGCTTAGCGATGTTCTCAGGCATGCGTTCCTCAGTAGGTCACACTAGATGATCACATGTCCTCCATAAAAGCTGCATGCTAGTGGTTGGGCATTTAGGTAGTCAGAACTTGCTCTGTCTTGGCTTCTGTGACAGGGACATTGTCTGGAGGGCAGGAGGGAGACTCTGAACTTGAGTCAGTGCTGCCCCAGCTCAGCCTGCATATCTAAATCTGTATGCAGCCCTGGGGATTGAAAGTAGCAAAAATGCAAGTTCTAGTGTATACTAGTCTCAGTCCTAACCAAGCCGGTGAATCTTAGCGGCCTTGATGAAAGGAGAATTGGCTTGCTATACTGTGCAGCTATCTACATTTTATCTTTTAAATGTCTTCAACTTTTTTCTTTGACAAAGGGAAATGATCAACCAGCTGAGCACTGACATAAGAATGACCTCCTGCCCAGGTGTCCTCTGCAGCCTCTCAGCTGTGGATGCTGGTTCAGTTGGAGCAAACTACTTTGTGATCCTATTTGTCCTAGCTCCTATACCTAGGAGTGAGCTCTTCTTGTAGTCCAGCTGTATGCTTGGCTTTGCTGATCCTGAAAAGGAGTCGTTAGGATGGCTGTGTGTCTCTGAGGGATCCAGGCAGGAGGAACAGTCCACTACTAATACTGTTTTGCACCTTTGAAGCTGACAAATGCAGTCTTGTGCAGACCAGAACATGGTTTCCAGTGTAAAAAAATGTGACTCAGCTTATGAAACAAATCATTATACTGAAAGAGTTGGTCTTGAGGACTGTGTTGATAAGAGCTGGGAAACCATTTTACCAGGAAACCATGCATGTGCAATTACATTCTGACTTTGGCTTGGGCAGAGAGGTCAGGAATCCTAGCATGGTTATGAAACTTCCAAAGTTTAGGCAATTCACTATAAAAGCCAGCAAACCAGCTAAAAGTTGATAAATAAGGGTGTTTTAAAATAACTTGTGTCTTCATCAAACTGTTTCAAAGACTGGTGTGACATTTCACATACAAATAGTGTGTTCCCTTCAACAATACTCCCATGGAAGCTACGCGTGCTATGTGCAGTGCATTCATTTCTTTGCATGGCACATCCAGTGTTTATAATCATATTATCTATGGATTAAAGTCCACTAGTAGAAGATCAGTAATATTTCTAGATTGTACTCTGGGTTCATATTCATTGAGATGATGCACAAAGAGTTGGGAACTTTCAATGCTGTGGCCAAAATTTAAAAATCCCTTTAAAAACTTAGAGTTTCAAAATACGAGGTGATGCTTTTCCGAGCAGATGCCAGGCATGTGTCCAATGTATCTGAAAAGGTTCTTTCTTATTTTCATTCAAGTGAGTTCAAAACCAGTTGTATGTGAGAAGAACTGAAAAGGAAGTTGGTTCAGAACAAAAAGGAAACAGAAAAGTTGACATTCAAAACTGAGTTTGTTTTGATGTGTCACAACAAACTTTTTTTACACTTTGCACAATCATCCTCTGCATGTACAGAGTATATCTAGAAAATTTCAGGCTGAAATGAGTTTCTAAGCCAGGAGGCTAAAAGGGGGGTTTAAAGAGCAATCTTAAAAGTTTATTTTCAGAGAAAGTGCATTGCCTTTATAGACCTGCTGACCAGCTGTGTCTGCATGTGGCATAAAGTCATTATCCTTTCGTGGATTTGGCAAGAAAAGTAGCCTAAAGACTTTTGTGGAAGAAGTCAAGCTATCTTACAACATGTTTTCTCATAATGTAGGTGCTATGATAGCTCTGTCTTTGTGATCCTTTGAGAAGATAATGGAGTTTTCCTCCTTCAGGGAACAGATGTGAGGATATGTTCCAAAGTGCCCTAAAGCGAAGGAAAGATCTCCTGCAGGAGCTTAGGGTAAGAGCCCTCTCTGTGGACAGAAACAACAGAAAGGGCCAAGTTATCTGCACGTCCACTGCCAATGTGGATTCAGTTCTTTCCTGTCCTTTAGTTCTTCTGCTGGGCAGTATTCATTCGTCTGCTGGTTCAGAGTATAGAGGCTGGGCCAGCCAATCAGGGAGAGGGGCTGGAGAGCAGTATGTCTTCCCTCATTACAGCTAACGAAGCTTGCACCCACTTCTGTTTGGTGGGTTGATTCTGTTTGTCCTGAACTGCTGTATCATAAGCTCTCTGGGGTGGCGCCAAAATGCAAACAGGGGATTTCTAATGCTGCCAAAATAGGGACAGTAGTAACTGTTCCTAGTTTGGGGGGGGGGGGTACCAACCATTAATGAAATGTTTTACCAGACTTTTGGTGTTCGTTCTTTGCTTTTTTCCATTCCTTTTTGCTTGTGCTGAAAACTGTATGGCTTAGAGACATGTGGGAAGAAAAACTTTCTTTACACTCACGTAGCCACTGGTTGAGTGCTTCCCTTCATGCAGTGCTCCCTTGTGGTCTGCCTGCCAGATGCAGCAGTGCTGGAAGTTTCTGCAGCAGTGTTTTGGTGAGCAAGGCTGCACCCTGCCACGGGTTCCCAAGGGCTCATCCCATTTAGTCCAGAGACTACTTTCACTTTCTGTGACCAGGTTTTCTTTAAGAAGATACTTGATTTTGCAGGAGCAGCAACTTCTGGAAGAGCTTTCACAGCCCCCTGCACCAGCTGGAGGGCACTGTTATAACCACAGAGCTGCCCCCCTGCATGTCTACCAGATACCTTTTCCAGCTCCCCAAGCAGAGCCACTGAGGATTATCCAGCAGACAGTAAGGATCCTCTCTCCTAGGAAACATTGCTAGTGCTGTGCCTGCCTGAGACAGCAACTGCAGGTGGAGGGACTTGGGGGCTATATGGAAATGCTCATCCCACTGAAAGGGAAGATACACCTCTTGCTGTTGTATGGGACCCTTACTGCCCTAGGCAAAATCTAAGGGAAATCATCTTACAAATAAGGCAGAAAATGAACAGTGTGAATGGTTTACTGTAGGAACAAGGTAGCAAAAGGAGTGGGAGGATTGCCCATGCTCTGGCCTGGCTGTTCAGTCAGTTTCCAATGCACATCACTGTCTGCTTGTACAGCCCACAGCCTCAACAGCTTCTCCATGAGGATCTCATGGGAGACATGTCCAAAGCCTTGCTGAAGTCCAGGCAGATGATACCCACTGCTTTCCCCTCCCAAAGATGAGGGAGCTGGCCAAAACCAACCCCAACTTCTCAATTTTCCTTTCTTTTTCAGATGCCGCCTCAGCCTGCCACCATCATCCAGCAGTTACCTCAGCCACTTCCCCTCATCACGCAGATCCCCCCTGCCCAGCCTTTTGCAGCCCCCCACTCCGGAAGCATTAAAGAAGGTAACATACCCTCTGTCTAGCAGCCAGCTCAGATAGGGCAGGCAAGGTGCCACGGCAAGTGGAAGGGGGCACGGGATGGCATCCAAGCTAGTGATGTGCTGTTTCACGACCGGGCTGCTGCTGGAGCTGTGGGGATTGCACTCCATAAATGGACTAGATATCATTTCTGAGAGGCTTTCAGACAAACTCCTGTTGCTAAAACTAAAGAAAAAGAGACTACAAACTCAGCAAAGCCAGGTTAAGCTGCTGGGGAAGCTTGGGAAAGCAAAACAGCTCAACCCAAGGCACTGAGTAATATTAACAAGGTCAAACTCATGTACATGGATGATTCCAAAATTAATAAACAGGTTTCTAAAATCTGTTTTTATTCTTCTGTTCCCTCTTAACCTGCTGTTCAATCTCCTCAGAACAATACAGGCTTTTATTATGCCCCATGTTTGGAAAAGACAGAACAGCTGAAAGTGCTGTTCCAAATATAATGCAATGCCAATAAAAAGAGTTTGTTTCTAAACATAGGTGGATGCTACTGTGAAGTAATACATGAGCAAAAACCTGGGATGACTTCCCTTCCCTTCAACCAAAGGTTTCTCATCCCACAGAGAAATCCTCAGCCATGAAATTGCAGTATTTCCCAGCTTTTTCTTCATCTAAGTATTTGAATTTTTTAATTAGAGTTTATCTTTGTAAACAAAATAGTCCCAATTCATGCATGATTTTTCTGGAGCTGATACTTATAAACTACTTTTGGGATGACCAGTTAAAAGAAAAAGAGAGTTGCCTTGATTTCTGCCCCCCTCCCCTCTCCCTCCTTCCTTCCCACCCCCAAGCAAATTAGTTCCACTGCACAGGTCCTTTGTGATTAGGAGCCAGAGATCATGGTAAGTAGATTTGATGCACATGCAGTGGACTCTCAAGGTGGCACTGCAATATCACGTAAAGTTGAGGAAACGTCTCACGTGGAAAGCAATGGTCTTGAGGCAAAGCAATAGAGACCAAGCGCTGTAAGGAGCTGCTCCGTGCTGGAGTAAGCGAGAGAGCTCTAGCACTCAGCCTTTCTCCAGCCTGCCAGTCAGCATAGCCAGAGGGGTGGGCTTGCAGGGAAACTAACAGACAGAAGATGCTCAACAGCAGCTTTCTTGTAGAAGGGAGGAGAAACAGAAAAGCTGGTCTGAACAGATTTATTCATAGACATTGATTTTGCACTGCTTAGCCAAATAACGCTGATATTCTTCACGTGTCCCTTTCAGCTTTGTCTTGGTTGCAGTGACCAGTCTGTATGCTGGAGGGCACTTCTTACTGAGACGCCTCTGCTGCTTGTCAGTTGCTGATAAAGCTCTTACTTTCTTCCTTCCTACATATTTTCCCAGACATGGTAGAGATGATGCTGATGCAGAATGCTCAGATGCACCAGATCATCATGCAGAACATGATGCTGAAGGCTCTGCCACCGATGGCATTCACACAGTCTGCTGGAGCCAGCTCTCCCCTGCTTCAGCATGCACAGCAGGTAATGACACTGGAGTCTGAAGGGCATCCTTGCTCACACAAGGCAATGGTTGATGTCCTTGGGAGGGTGCAGGGCCTGGACACAACATGCAGAAAGGGACATTTAACAGCTGTGTGCATTTTCAAACCCACTGCACCAGAAGACTGTTACTGAGCAGAGCACAGCCTGCCTCTCTACCATGATGAGAACTGTGACAGGACGCAATGGAAGAGTGTTTCCTCCACACGTGTAAACTGGGTTCAGTCCAGCTCTGTCCTGTACAGTTGAACCACTAACAGACTACGCATGGAAGACATCTATACTGGGTGTATGCTGCCGCTGGTCCACTTGCTGCAAACAGCAGGCCAATATTTGTGTTACGATTGTTGTAATTGGTAAAATTTGACCTGGCAGTTTGAAATGGTCTAGAGCTGAAGCACAGATTTTGTGATCATACTTGGAGCCCCACTGCTCGGGTTCCTGTCTCACTGAAAATCAATGGCTACTGAGCTCTGAAAGGACAGATCTTAAAGATATTTTGGTGTGTAGATCCCTATAAAGATTTTTCTAAAACATGTCCAGTGCCTGATAAGAGGTAGATAATTTTGAGCATATCCTTAGATGCCCAATTCCTAAGCTATTTTTAACATGGTGATATAGCTCCTTAGCGTCCTTAAGTGCTTTTGAAAAATGTATTTCTAGTCTCTACTCTGTAGCATTTATTACCTAAGAAGCAAGGCCAGTTGATCTTTGGGGAGGAGGGGATGTACCAATGTTGCAAAAACTTCCCCTGGACTTTTCCTACCCCTCCATTTTCAAGCTAACTATGTCTTTTCCCTGTGCAGTACGAAAGATTTGTTTTCTTTTTCTCAGATGTTAAGGTTGTTGGGTGCTGAGAATGTAATTCCCACGCTTCTGCAGCCCTTGCCCAGCTCACTCACACCTTTTTGCTTACACATGCTATTTGCAAAAGAAACAAATGGCTTAAAAGCCCCTGAGCCCTGAGTTTAACAGAGGGGTAGGAAATGCAATCCTCCTCCGTAGCACATCCCATAGCCTGGAGGGAGCTGATGGATTTTTGCACCTGTTGGGACCAAATGTCTGCCCTGGACAGAAAGCCTCCAACAGCAGTTGCCAGCTCTCATGTTTCAGGGCACTGATGGAGGCCACCCACAGCACAGAGAGGCCCGCTGGTTTCATCAGCCATGGTCATGGGGTGGACTTGCTGTGGAAATGGTAGGCAGTGCTGGCTCTTCCTCATGTCAGAGCTGTGCCGAGCATTGCGTCAGCTGGAAGCCCTTTTCTATTTTCCTTAAACTTTGGAATTTCTGGTTTTGAATACTCTTTTCCCCTTGCCATGAGGGAGATGTCTGGGGCAGACACTGATGCTGGGAGAGCCAGTGGACTCATCTGCAGCTTTCTGTGGAGGACCCCACACCTAAGGGAAGAATGGCAGAGGAAGAGCATGCATCCCCCTGGTCCCCACCTTCCGCCCCAGGCCATCCTGTCACTGTGCGTTTCCCTGATGTAGACTAGTGGGATAAATTGGGGGGAGTAGGGTCTGAGTGCCTCTGAATATCAAGTGAAATCTGACATCACCGATGTTTGCTGGACCTTCTATGTTGGAGCCTGTAAAACCCATATCCAGACACATGCTGAAGGAGTTCCTTTACCAAGGGGTGGCCAAGTGGGAACCCAGCCCCTCAGCCACGGACCCTTCCTGTGAGGCACAGATTTCACAAATTGCCCTTTGCCTCTCTCCAACAAGGACCTGCACTTTGCTGCTCCTCTGGCTGTGAAAGCAGACAGGCCCAGGCCATCTGCAGTCCACCACCACCACCACTACCCTCCTACAGGGGTGCTTCCAGTGCCCCATGGGGGCTTCCCATCCACATCCACGGCACATCGTTGGACCAGCAGCATTCTCCCTACCCTGCCTATGTAAGTAAACAGGCAGCCATGACGTAAACTTTTAGCCTTTTTTTCCTGCACAAGTAGGGTAGCAAGGTAGACCAGACAATCCCATGCCTTTGTGGTTCTTCACTAAGGCCAGTCCTGAATATTGTCTTGAACACAACAATGGGACTGAGGTGGGTTAAGTGATGATTTGATACACTCAATCTTGTAACTTGAGTAATTAACCCTTGCTTACTGTGGAATAAACATGAGGATCAGACAAGGTCCTCAGATGATAGCAAGCTGTGTCCCTGCCACACAGAGCCACCACCCAGCAATGCTGCATGGCTCCGCCCTGCAGTGGTTGTTACCCTGGGTTTTGGGTCTCTCTGTGAACCCAGCAGACACCTGCTAAATAAGGGCTGCATGTGCTTTATGTTTAGGCTAAGGTTCCCAGTAGGATTTATGTTCTTAAAGCACATTTGCTAATCAGAAATTCCTGGGAAAAAAACTACTACCACTCGCTAAGAAAAATGGTACAAAGGGAGGGGATTACTCAGAAATAAAGCTGAGCCTTTGCGATAGGCCTGTGCTTGCAGTTCAGGTGTTTTTTCAAGTGCAGAAATGGATGGACTTCCCCCCAGGCTGTCCCCAGGTCTGTAGAGCCCTTGAGCCCTTAGCAGAGGTCAGCAGCTGGCTCCTCCAGAGGCTCACTTGCTTACGCCTTCCCTGCTATCCCTGAGCTTGTCCTGGTCGGCTTTCTAGGTGTGAGTGCCTAGGTGTGAGACTAGTGTTCAAAGTAGTCTGCTCATGCGAATGCCAATGGCAGGAGGGGCCTTGGGCAAGGATCTGAGCCAAGAGCAAGCACTGATCTTGCCGAGCACGTCAGGAGGGGATAGCAAGAAAGCAGGCATAGAAGCAGTGGTGCTAGAATGTTCTTACATGCCGAGGCTGGTAAAGAAATGCACATTGCTAGAGTGTAGTGGGGTGGCTGGAAACTTTGGGATGGGGGCTCACTGTTGCATTGATCAGAACACAGCTTTTATTTCTGTGCTATGGCTCTTTCAAAGCCTTGGTGAACAGGAGGACATGATGGAGGCAGCTACATCTTCAGGCATGGACAACCTGCTGGCAGGAGTATCTGTATGACCCTCTTTAGCATGGGATTTGAATTCCTGAACAGATTATTTACCTAATGGGATTATAAGGGGTAAGCTTTTCTACCCCTTTCACTTTTATATGGGTTTGTAATCTGTACTGGTAAAGATCTCTTGGCTCCTTCCAGAATCAGTGCAATTACCTGTTTGCAGAAATTAGCAAAGGAAGATCTTGTCATGGCTTTTAAGCTGTCATCTTCCTCTTCTTTAGCTACCTTCCACCATGAATTATGAGAGCTGGCACATCTACACTGTCCTTTTGCAGCTGCAGCAAGCATGCACTGTTGGCTATTACCAAACACAATAAAGCCATTTTTCTTGTTGCAGGTGGCCCACATACTGACAGTGCGTGTTCCTCTGCAAGTGGACCATAGCATTGCTGAGGTCAACCTGTATTTGAACAGTTCCTAAAGAATCTGTCTGATTAACAGCCTAATGTCTGTATGACTGTGTATTGTTGGTACAAGAAGTGAGCGGGAGAAAGGCTGCAGATGTTCAGAACAAACATACTGTGCACCTGTGGTCTGCTCACCCGTTTCTGCTAGTTCAGTTGTTTCCTCTCATCTTCCAAGCCCAGACCAACCACAAGCAATCACCACTTTTTTTGCTGTCTCTTAACAGAATCTAGAACACCCATCCCAAAATGTTTTGCAGGCTTGGCAGCCCACAGCAGCTGAAATAATCTTAACACCAGTTTTACCTGAGCCCTTGAAAATAATGACCCAGGTCCAGGTCTGAGAATCCCCTTCATTTGCAACTTGAGGAAATGCCCCTTGCAAAGGGGGCTGCTGTCCTCCTGGGGAGGATAATGTAAACACACAGTGTGCCTGAATGAGGGTTTAGTCACCAAACCTCATCAGCCTGAAGTGTTCTTCCCTCAGCATTTTTGGGTTTACTCCTTCACAGATATACTTGTCCTACAGTAATTACCTATCCAGGGAACTAAAGATGAGCAGGAACGATCCAAATGCAAGTTACCTGCATAGCAGAGCAAAATCCTGGTGCTGGATTTTCCTGAAAACCAGCACTCTGCCCTACCTGTATGAGTTGGCTTTATGCACTATTTGGATAAATAGTTCTCAGTGGAGAAGAACAGAAAGAAATCTGTTGCTGCAGTCATCGGGTTTGAACTTGGAAGCACAATGTCTACCCCCAGCTAACCGCAGTCCACGTTTTCGGTGCCAGGAGGGCTCTGACTCTCAGTCTCTCCCAGATCTCACACTTACAAAGCTACCCATGGTTTTCTTCTCAAAGAGCTACTGGAGGCTTATTTAAGCAGCCTGGAATTGTGTATATTTGTTTCATTATTTCTCAACCTCTCCCTCATATAATTAGGGTTTAGTCTTGATTTAAAAAAAAAAAAAATTCTGAGGTTCTTCCTTGGGTATTGGCGTGTCTTTTTCTCCCGCAACATAAATCAAACACCTTTCCCCTCTTTACTCTTCCCACTAATTTTAGGAGGGCAGGCTTTAGTCCAAGCCCATGCTACCCTGTTCTTTCTTTTTTTTTTCATTTAGGACTCTTTGGAAGGCTTGCTCAGCATTTTAATCAAGCAATACTTTTTCATGCTCTCAGCAGCCTGGTTGTGTTTAATACAGAAAGATAAACAATGAATTAGCAGCACTTTCTCAATGTCTTCCCACCTTCTGCTGTTTTTAAAGTGGGGAACGTCTTTACGTTGTTTTTGCCTGGCGCAGTTTGTGAGTGAATCTGATGAAGATAAACCAGGGACCTAAATTTTGTTTGGAATGGTTGCCCAGAAGAAAAGACATTGTGCTGGGCATAGATAGTCCCTGATAAGCAAAGCTTAGTCTGGTTTGTCAAGAACTATTGTCAGTAGCTAAGGAGTCATGTTTGGCACCAAGAAGCTGATGTGTATCGTCTTGGAAAAAGAAAAACTTTCAAACTGTGGCCCGTTTACTGTACCACATAGCACTGCTCACCAACAGGTCGGGTGCTTCCCCCCATGTCCGTGCCTCCTGCCTCCGGAGCTGGTACACAGACCATGGCCGAGGCTGCTTGTCCAGAAAGCAGTATTACGAGACCAGCTTTAGTTACATAACTGTATGCTGTGTTATCCACAGGAGTCCATGAATTAATTGGCATACCTTAAAGTGCTGCTATCAAATTGGTAAGCCAGGGTGGTGGAGTAATCTCTAAAGCCTAATGGACAGGTATGCAAAGGGTGCTGTGTGTGATATTTCCAAATAATAACTGTCACTGCTGGGAAGCTAATGGTGTGCTGTCTGTGGTCTGAAAATAATTAATGAGTAATTTATTTACTATGTAAAACTTACCCTGCTCTTTGCCCTCTCTTTTCTGTTTTCTTTGCTGGGTGTGTGTGAGTCAATCGGATAGTGTGGATCAATTCACTGCTACACAGATCAGTGTCGTGGTTTAACCCCAGTCAGCAACTAAGCACCAAACAGCCACTCGCTCACTCCCCCTGCCCCAATGGGATGGGGGAGAGAATTGGAAGAGTAAGAGAAAACTCCTGGGTTGAGATCAGAACAGTTTAATAATTGAAATAAAATGAAGTAAAATAGTAGTAGTGGTAATAATAACAATATAATAATAATAGGAATAATAATATACAAAGTAAGTGATGCACAATGCAATTGCGCACCACCCACCAACCGATACCCAGACAGCTCCCAAGCAGCGACTGCTGCCCCCCGGCCAACTCCCTGTAGCTAATATACTGAGCATGATGTCATATGGTATGGAATAGCCCTTTGGTCAGTTTGGATCAACTATCCTGGCTGTGGCCCCTCCCAGTTTCTTGTGCATTTGGCAGAGCATGGGAAGCTGAAAAGTCCTTGACTAGCATAAGCAGTACTCAGCAACAACTAAAACATCAGTGTGTTATCAACATTCTTCTCCTACTAAATCCAAAACACAGCACTATGCCAGCTACTAGGAAGAAAATTAACTCTATCCCAGCCCAAACGAGGACAATCAGAGAAACCCAGCAGATGGTCTTCAGTGGCAACTTGTTCAGAAGCAGTGCCAGGGCCTGTGGGCACTTATAGCCTTTAATAACCCCAACCAGCCCTACCTGGGACATGTGCCCTCCCCAAGGCCAGCAGTCCCATTTAAGCTAGGGCCTGGGCCTGCTTGTGGGTCCTGTTGACCCTGTCCTGCATGTCCTCTTGTTGCATGGCACTGCATGCAATGAGTGTGGCGCAGCGTGGTGTGGTGCTTGCTCCCCATCCCCTTGGAAGCAGCTGGCCCTTGCTGTACTGGGAACTAGGATGTGCAATGGAGAATGGTGCTGTGCTTGTGCAGGGATTTGGTCTTGCTCCTTTAAGACAAACCTGCTGGTTTGGGCTGTGCATTGCAGGTTTAGCAAGAAATGGTAGTTAGTGTCTGTTAATGTATGCATTTTCACTGTCTGATGTTTAATTATTGTGTGTAGGCTGTAATTGCCTCCTCCCTTTTAAAAGCTTACTGGGTGTAGTGTTGGCTCAGCAGAGCACTTCCTCCCAAGGGTGGGCATGTGCCATGGTGCATGCAGAGATGTCTCCTTACAGCCTCATCCAAGTCCTGGAAAGCTTCTGCAGATTAGGCATGGATCCTCTGCTCAGCATCACACCCCAAAACACTCAAGCCACACACAGCTCCCTTGGGTGAAAGATGTCCTCACTGATGGGATCAGGCCCCTGGGCAAGCAGTGTGGCTCACATCCCACCCTCAAGAGAGGGCTCCAGGAGTCACTTGGCATCATCCCACTGGTGTCTCTGCAGTTGGAGCCCAACAAAACAGGAGCAAAAGCCCAGCAGATGCAAGTTCTCCTGGTGCTCTGTACATGTTTCATTAGGAGGTCCTTGAAGGCTGCAGAATTGCTTTGCAATTTTCAAAAAAGACTTTTGAATAAGGCCTGACTGAATAACACCACATTCATGTCTCTTCACCTAAGTGAAGTGTGGCTGGCTACACAGCCACGCTGATTCACCAACAGTCTCTGGGCTGGGAGTTAAACTTTAATATGAACCAGGGGAGAAGAACTCAGGTGTAACTCAGCCACCCACGTCCTTCACCTTCCCCTCCCCTCTGGTGAGGGCAGCGCAGCAGGACAGGGAGCAGGGACGCAGCAGTAAGGACCTGCGACCCAGGGGCTGCCCCAGCGATGGAGCCCAGTGACCCACAGGGGAAAAGAGTTGCCATTGTTGGCGGTGGTCTGGTAGGAAATGCAGTTTGGCTGCTGTGTGATTGCATTTGCCAGGGAGCCGGGGCTGTGAAAGCATTGCTTGGATGTGGGGTGAATGTTTTTCTTAAAATCATTCTTCTTCCAGATGGTGGGGTGTTATGGAGGAGTTGATTGAGCTCCCACTGCAGGAGGCAGTGAGACTTGTTTGAGCAGCTAGGATTTTGTAGGAGGAGAACAGGTCTTTCCCTCAAGGGAAAGCTTTGCTGCTGAGATATCCCAGAGATGCAATGCATGTCTGTGGTGGGCACTTGCCACGGTGCGTGCAAATAAATCCTGCTGCCAGGAGTCCTTTTCTCAGCAGAAGGGGTTTGGGGAAGGTGGAGCAATGGTGCCCAGGTACACTAAATAACAGTCCTCATTTGGGCTGCCAGATTCTCCTGCCCCTTGGCTGTTTCTGGCTCTAACCAAGTCACTAACGTGAAATGCTTTGCAAGGACCAAGGCTTGGTAAACGCTAGGATAAGAGGAAATGCCTTCCTCCACCCACTTTTGTTTGGGAATGGTCTTCCTCCATCGCTGCTTGCACAGTGGTCTGACTCTAAAGGACACCATGGAGCATTGCAGCACCTAAATCTTTCTTTTGACTTTTTGGCCATTAGCTTTTTGGTCCCCATGCTGCTGGAAAAGAGTGATGACATGAGAGTCTGTAGTTTTGACCACAGACTGACTACTACTACTGAGCAATTAACGATGGAAATTAAACAAGAAAAAGACAGCCATCCATTTCAATAACAAGCAGGACATATGTGTGCTGTCCTCTTTAAGGTAACATCTTGCTTTTGCATAAGTCTAGCTTCTCCTCTTGTGTTCTTGAGGGAATGCTGCAGCACCCTGAATTCTTTCAAGGAAGATAAATATAGTCCAGAGGGAAGCAGGGAGCTTGCCTGTACAAGCTCCTGTTGTCTCTGGCTGAAGGGGTTAGCCCTGCTGCAATTACTTACTGCATGTGAACAAGCCCTGAACTTGGTATGACTTTATATGATGAGTTTTGATGGGTGACTTCTGCCTTGGAGGCTCTGCAGGCACATAAGGCGTACCAGAGGACTTCTCTCCAGGACGAAGTCCTCTAAGGTTCTTGATCAAAGGGTCTTCCTGTATAGGCTGAGCTGCACCCCCTGACCGCTGCTTTCCCTTGATGCATCTTAGTAGTGTTCTGTGATATAGCCACTATATAGCTACTAAACACTTCATCCACCATTCCTGGTCCTTCTCTTGTAGGTGGGTGCATTGAATGCCTGTTTCTTTGCTAGACGAGGTTTCTGTGTTGACGTTTATGAAGCCAGAGAAGGTAAGTTCAGCCTGATCATTACTGCTTTATTGATGTTTCTGTCCCTTTACTGATAACAGTTCTTGAAGAAGCAAAAGGGGAACTGTGTGAGCTCACTGAAACTGCAGAAAGATAATGAAATCTGAAAGCATGGCACTTTGGGGATATTCTTTTCACTCTTCCCTTCAGCTCCTGTGGTAGTGGGGGAGAATCTATTTGAAATACGTTGTCTTGTGTGGAGCAAATCCACCCTTCAGCTACTAAAATGATGCCCTTTTTTATGTTCATAGAATCATAGAATTGTTTAGGTTGGAAAAGACC